GGCCACCCAGAAACTGAACCAGCAACTGGTTCTGAGCACGGAGTGCAACAACCTCCATCTCCAATAAAGCTAAGCGTCCCACCGTTGCCTGCAGCGACGCATTCGCCTGCTCCATGGCTAAGAGTCGCTCCGAAAAAGAGCGGTAGTCCTCAAGGTGAGGCAGCCGGCGCACGACGCGCTCCGAATCATCAAAAGCGTCCGCATAGCGATATGCTACTTCAGCATGACGCTCAGCGGACTTCCGATCACGAAGGATCTCATTCTCAAGGGCTCGAAGAGCATTCGTTTGTGGCCGGACGGCGGTCGACCCGATCGTCACCACCCGCCACCGACTCTTCTCGATGAGTTCATCTCTATTCATTTTGTTCACATAGCTGTATGATACCTGACCTCATCATTGGTGCCAATGATCTTAGTCATTTTCTGCTGAGTAATACTCACCTTTAACATCTGTGTAGAGATATATCAGTGAACCCTGTTTTTGGTTATTCGCTATAAGCACTATCATTTGGGCTCTTGCGGCGTCATTTCGTATACTGCCGCAGCTCTGAGTAAAATCAGGCTCTTAAACAAATTTTCTGAACCTATGAAGTGACGCAACCGAGATATTCCATACCTGTGCCACAGTTGTCGCTTGAGATGTCACATGATATTTCATCTATTTGGAGTGTTCGATGGATTCGCAATCCTAATTTATGCGCACTGAGGCGTCGATTTGTATACCCACGTCTTAGCTGTGACTCCTTCCACAGCGCCAACCCCAACATTTAACATAATATGTATCATGTGTGACCCGACCGCTTATCACTCTCTCGTATAGTGTTCAGCCTTGACGCTGTTATAGCACATTCTAAAGGTATTTCTTCCTATTGAAAATGTTGTTTCTTCGCTGTTTTTTTCTTCTTTTCTGACCATGATGAGTGCAGTTGTTTCGACACACCCCTCAGCGAACAGTTTTCTGATGAGATCGGCAAAGCCGAAACTAGTGCAAGGCATGCGGATTGTCTGAACAAGACCCTCGCGGCCCGCATGCTGTCTACGCAACACTACAGTGTGAAGATTTTTGAACAGTTGTTTGGCTTCATCACAAACAAGAGCTATCACATTATAGTACTCTAGGAGGATCTCCGAAAAACGCCAGTAGCCGTACCCGTGAGAGACGAGACATGAATGCAGATGAATTGTGTGCGAAGTGGTCGCCAGTGCCCTTGGCCTAAGAGTTTTTGTACGGCGAAAAGTAGAAGTCTCACAACAACAGAGAGTAGCCAGGTCGGTTTTTGACGTGGCTGTGACCACTGTCCTAGTGATCATCTTTCGTGAATAATGCGCCAAGAATAAGAAAAAATAATTGGTCTGTCCAACTATACAGGCGCTGTGACCTGCATGGCAAAGCAGTGACTTCACATGAGCCTTATGAAAATTCCAACAAAGTAGACACCAGGTGAAGAAACCACTCTCAGCAAGTATATTGCTCGTTGAATGCTGTGTAGTAACGGCCCAACATATGAGAGTGGGTAAGTATCTATCGGCGTCCATGCAGATGTTGTACACACAGCAACTGTTTGCACTTTCGACTAGTGCTGATAAATCATAGGTATAATGATCGTAGACGGTTCTCTTAAATTCGCATTTGGTAGTACCAGCATTGTTGTCTTGGAAGGTGGTTAAGCACGATGGCTCCCCTCCCTGCTTTTAGCAAAAAACTCTAGGTGGGTATACAGCCAAGCCTTTTCTCGAAGAAGTACTACGACGACATGGTTTGCGGTGGTCAGTGATTTGAGGTAAGATCAGAACGTTACAAAAAAACCTCCACAAAAAACATCTCAAAGTTCCTGGAACTAGATAAGGTATGCCAACCGCCAGTCGTCAACAGACTGTTGGTCGGACGGAGCAAGTTATATGTGCGGTAGAGGATATTCTTGAAAACACTTGCGCAGAGATAACACGGTGTTGTAAGAAAAAATCTTTTGTAAAATACCGTCGTACGACGCTCTACTTGCCTGACCTCATTCTCTATCCATATTCAGCAAATTCTATGTTGTTCTGACAGCAGGATGTGAATAACAGAGATAGACGGAACACGATTATCTGTAGTTGGTGTATAGATCAGATTCAATGCGGTCAGCCTTTCTATATATTTAGTGCTGACAGTCTATAAGGCCAAGTTGCGAAGCAACTACATTGGACCGTTTGAGGCTGTGACCAGCAGGAGTAAAGCTTTACCTTAAGCATCATAAAAAAAGAATGCGATATCCAGTCTTATATATAGTCCTACCGCGATCTCGCTCTTTTAAGCTGTTTAAATGTGATTTGTTCTGTTGAAGACGGAGCAACGTTTCAGCTATCCCTTGTAGCTGATCTACATTCTGCTTAAAGACATCAATACTACTTTGAATATCATATGTGTCCTATATTACTCCGCACAATGGCGTCGCTTCAAGAACATATCAGACTTGACTCATCATACTATTAAACACACAATGGACATTCGATTAGAATCGACGTGAGCCAATACCGAGAGAATCCATAGGGCCAGCAAGAAAAGGTTGTTCTCCACTGGCACTGGTCGACCAGCAATAGCTGGTCGCTTTCATGTGGTGCGTGTATGGACCGGCAAGTTTACCAGGGCTGTAAACAATATATACTGAGGTCAAAGAGAAATGCGGAAATCGATAGCACATGGTAGTTTGGGGTCCCACTGTTGCAAGGTTGCTGCAGCGGGGCTGCCGTAGCTTTGCGCTTCGAGAAAGCGTAACTTAGGTCACCGACCTCTCGTTCTATACTCAGAACAAGTACGAGTTTAGCGGATCGCAATCCGTTTACCCCTAGGCTAATTAAGTATTTGATTTTAAATTTAAAACTAACTTTATTAAATTTTGTCTGCGGCAAAGCCGCCTAATTTTAAATGCATAGATTTTCCTAAATACGCATAGTAAAATCTAAATATATGTATAACTACTTGCTATCCAGCCCCGTACCGTATTCTTGTTTGGGTGCTTATATGGTGTGACACACACACCCTATTACTAGGGAATGTGTAACCCCGTTACACTCTCTCCCATTAAAATTGAGAACATGTACAAGTCCAATCGATTATTGCCTCAACGAGGCTTGCGTGTTTATTAGACACTGGGTTGGAACGAAACGGCTTCCGTGATCAATGAGCCCTGTGTCAGTGACACCGAAGTCTCCAAGTCTCGCTGGTTTCGACAGCGCTCACGGACAGAGCCCAGCTTCATCTTCCACACACGGTGCCATGTCGGACCGTGTCTCCGTGGCATCATGGGATGTAAATCCTAGGCTTGATGAGCCCGAGCGTCGCGCTCCGCGTACGCTCACGGTGATGAGTGACCTCGTTGGGGATG